CCGATGGGGTAATGGTCAGCGCGGCTGCTCTATTAATAGCGAGTTAATGACTTACCCAAAGAAACTTCGATATTAAATAACCCACCAAGGTTTCATATGATGTAAAAGAAACCGCTACCTTCCGTTGATGCGACCATGTATAAAGCTTCACACGCGCTAGCAGAGTTGAGTTTATTACAGTGGTATTGGCTTACTGTATAAACTGGTAATCTCTATGGTAAGGTGCCACAATCTGTCGATTTTTTTGCTTTCATCTTTATTAAGATAATCGTTATTTCTATCTTTTTTATTGATCTGGCTGTTTTTTTTTTCTATTAATTTTTCCCAGTTTCTATTATTCTGTCTATTCTTAATTCTTATTGTTCCTTGTTATCAGAACCAGTTTTAAGTGTTTGTTTCACATCCTGATGAATAGACCTTTATCACGTAATAAATAGCCGAAAATTCTGTCAAATCCCGCATTTCGAGCAAACATCTCAACCGCCATTTTTTATTATCATTCCAATTTTTTTCCCTAACACCTTATCACCACGACAGTCCGCCCTTTGCTAATTAACGTGAGTTTTCCAAACATGTCTGCTGTACGAAAGCGCAAACTTTTTTTTTATGACACACTCTAGACGAAGGACCATGCACCATTCCAGGAAAAAATGAATGATGGTGGAGGGTGGAGTTGAAATGGTAAGGGAAATGATTACCAAGCTTGAGCCAACAATAGTAAAAAAAAAAAAAAAAAGAAAAGAAAAAAAAAGCAAATTACAAGCTCTTTTGCTTTTGTAAAGGCGGAAGTCCAGGTCTGTTGCCAGAACGCCCTCACACAGATAGCAAGAGATTGAGAAGAAACAGGAAGTTGTTGTCGGCAGAGAATAAACGAAGTACAGAGAGTACAAAAAATATACAGAAGAAAACTGATTGCATTCGGGAGTCTAATTATCTGAACCGATAAATGGACGGGTGGATTCGGGATGGGAATGATGGGATAAAAATTAGTGATGGCATAGTGAACTTTTACACTGAATATGAGTTTGGCTGCTCCGTCATTTTGTTGTCTTCCTGGAGGGAAGTGCATTAATCAGAGAAAATGTTTATCGACTTCCGCTGGCCATCTCGTCAACATTGATTCTTTGGATGGCTTGATGACAAACCAGTGAACGGGTTCATTTTGAATGGGATACACTTGACTTTTAATGTCACCAAATTTAAAGAATGAAATGAGTGAAGGAACAACAACAGCAGATTTTCTTAATCAGTTGGACACATGTCTCCATAAGGCTGATGCACTGTGCATCTCTGTTTATGCGGGGGAGTAGTGGCAGCGTGTGTCTATAGGTTTTTTTTTAAGTGTAATAGATGAAGCAACCAAAGCGACTTGAGAGTCACATCTAGATACTTGAAAACACCCTCAATCGGAGAATTTCTAAACGGGCTTGATTACCCGACCTTAAGGCATTTATAAAGGAGTCCAGCTTGTAAGGTTATACATTACTTTTACCAAAACCTGTCAACCTGGTCTAGGGTAATGACGGCTCTGAATTCAAAACCTGAAGATGGTCGTTTGGGGACCTTGTGGCACATAGTGCACCAGGTCTCTGTATTCGGCTCTTCAAAAGGTGTGGTTGGTTCTGCACAAAACCTGGGAAATTTGGCTGTGCTGCATGTGCCTTATATACACTTAACAAACGTGGTGTCACTTGCGTGATATGTCTCTCAACTCGTGTCATGCCAGAATGGAATTTTCACTGAATATCTCACCAGAGCATCAAAGATAGCCAGGTGCAGCGACTTCTCGACCGCCGAGGGCGGAATCAAGTGACCTCAAGGCTGAACCTGGCTTGCAAGTGTTGGAACGAGCTGTATGAGCGAAATAGATATATAAACACCCACCTCAGCGGTAAAGGGTAGCCTGTAAAACATCGCAGGCGAAAGTGTAAGGTCCACGTTTTAGACAAAGGATCCGGTGGGGGGGGGCATGCACACACACACACATAAAAAGACACACACAGGCCCGCACGCACACACACACACACACACAAAAAACAGACACACACACACACTGTAAGTGACAAAGTAAAAGAGAGAAATGAAATATCATGTTGGATATGGGAGACTAAATCACGCGTTACACTTTATCAATACCTCTGTACCATTACACGTTGCTGGAGTGCTGTTCTGTCACTCAATAATAATAATAATAATAATAATAATGTCTTTATCAGACTTGGTGTCTTGATCGTTACATTGGGCTTCGTATATTTGTACCCCAGCGTCACGTTGTTGGCGTTCTCCTCTTTTACATAATAATAATAATGTTAATAAACTGTGAGACAAATATGCGAAACACCCGGTCTAATTAGTGTATACCAAACACATGCATCACAGCCAAATGTTCGCGTTACGGTTGAGATGCATGTGCTTGGTATACAGTTATCGGAATGGGTCTTCCTTATCGTTATATTGCGCTTCGTATATTTGTACCCACCCCCAGCTTATTATCATATTATAATTCAGCTGCTTCCTTAGTTCGTTATTTAGTCAATTTGTACGGAAAAGACATATCAGTGACGCTGTTTGATTTCAATGAATGAATAAAAGAAAGAAAGAAAGAAAGAAAGAAAGAAAGAGAAGATAGTGGACGCGATAATAACCGCATGTGTTTAACGCTTGCTTCAGTGAAATGGGGAAAAAAACTTTTTAATTTCAAATCTTTCATTCGTAACCTCCTATTTTTAAAAAAAAAATTAATGGCCTGCATTTATTTGTTGTAACCGAGAAAATGTTACTGAATGAGGAATAACCAAAACGGAGGTTGGAAATGAAATGGTAATCTTTATAACATCAACAAAATACAATACTCGCCAGCGGCGTGAAGTAGGTAAACCACTGCTAGTGGTGGACTACTTAGACATTATATTACCCCCACTTACAATAGTGCCAACGTATGAGGATTGGAGCATACCCATTAGTGTTCATAGGTACGATATATAACAATATCTATGATTGTTTTTTGCCTATTGCCCGGTTCACTCTCCTTCCCGGTATTTTGAAGAGGAGTAGAGAAACAACCTGGAAACAAGGGACAGATCTCTGTTGGGAGTAGAAGTTTATTCCTTGTGTCCAGGTTAGGATTGGGTTTCCGGTTCCTTCTAAATTCCTTTTTATTTCCTTACAAGCAGTCCTTTACATCTTAGTGGCATAATCGCCTTGCTTGGGGGTGAATTGATTAAAAAAAAAAAAAACTTGTTAAGTTGTTCAGCATAAATATTTAGTGAGGCAAAAGGGGAACTTCTATATCCATTTATACCCGTGTGTAGCAAAGAAAACGGCGAATTACCCCGTCAATCGAAGCGACAGCGTGTCTCGTGTTTTCTACGACGGAAAATGTGGCGAAAAAGAAAGTTACTTACCTCGAAAAAGGGGGCGCGTAATTTGCATGATATGCCAAAGACAGAATGTCCAATTTAGAAACAAGTCAGTTGCAGAAGTCGCTATAAAAGTATTTCGGATATGTTAATATTGTGTGTCCTCTCTCAGCTGTCGACCAATGAAAAAAAAATGCCCCGTCGATAAAAGCGGTTGGTGTTCTCGAATTAGGGAAGAAATTCGTGTATTTGGCTAGCACGTTCTTCGTGGAAGTTTGTTATTTTTTCTGACTGGTTATTGTGATTTGTGGCCTAGTAACTGCGAATCGAGATTTCGACATTTCTTTCTGTTCCTGATATTCGAGTTTGGACTTGCAATTTGTTTTCTTCGTTGTGGAATTAATCTGTGACATCAATTTCTGAACTGGAATTTTAGTTCAAGCACGACGAATCCGACTAGACCGTGAAACTGGCAATGAGCTTATTCAATCATCAAATATAATGATACATCAGAAAACAGAAATACATAAACCGTCAAATATTCACGTGTATTTCTAGTTATATTATCAATATCGGGTGAGTGAACAGCCCTCCAACTGATTGTAATGTTTTGGAATTGAAAAACAATGATAACATGAGATTTAGTCTCTCATATTTTATCCATCATAAGCTTGTTCCGACAATGGCTTTGTCACGGTCTGTGAGTATACGAAGAAAGTTGGTAGAAATAAGAGGAAAATCCTTATCAAGCCATCATCACATCAATCATTTGGTGTGGAAAGGAAAAATACTTGAAATCTAACTATATTACACGCCAACTATATTACTTGGGGGGGGCTGTAATTGGTAAAAATACCAAACATGAGGCTTACTCTTGTAAACTTGCATTTTCACCCCGATTCTGAAGGTGTAGGAATCCTAACAAGTTCCTAATTAAATGAAAGCTGCAGTCATGATAACGATCTTCAAAAAAAAAAAAAAAAAAAAAAAAAAGTGACCGAAAAGCCTGTGGAAACTATAGAAGAAAATATTACTTTGAATCACTGGAAATATCTATGCCAGGATGTTTTTATATCGGCTTCAGAGTATCGCCGAAAAGATGCTACCAAAATCTCAATATGGATTCCCTGCATTTCGTGGTACAATCGACATGATTTTCAGTACCAGGTAACCCAAAGAAAATTAATAAACGACAAAACCTTTTCCTTGCTTTCTATGACTTAGAAAAGGCGTTCCATGTGGAAAATTCTTCATCGATTTGGATGTCCAAATTTATTCATTTGTACCCTCTTACATTTTTTTAAATAATGGCCTGCATTCATATTTATTATCTTTTGCCTATCGCCCATTTCATACAACTACCCTGTCTTTTGAACAAGAGTAAAAGTTTAGACAGAGAATGTATATCTTTAATATAATCCAGACGAATGTCGTTCTGTGGACTAGCTATTAACAAAGACGTACATGGGCCTAACTGATAGGAAGCATTTGATAACTGAGAAGACTTTTCCAAAGTTTGTGTAGCAATTCCCTCTGCCACACATTAACGGCCTGCGCTAAGTTTATTATTGAGTGCTTCGCTGATTCTGTGTCTAATGGCAGTTAACATATCAATATTAGACCTAGAAGGGAAAAATTAGTTTAATATCCATATGACATACTGATAGAGAGATAATAGATACAAGGAGCTTCCTGAAGACACTGAGAAGACTGATGGGTTAATACTATAACGGAAATGAACGCCGACCCGCATTCTTGAAAAGCGGATATGCAGATATAACTTCCATGGGCCCTGGGAAACATTCCTCCTTCAGGCAGCGGTAAAAATGTGAATAAACTGAGATAGATAGATAGATAGATAGATAGATAGATAGATATGAAATAGATATGAAGATATATATATATATATATATATATAGAGAGAGAGAGAGAGAGAGAAAGAGAGATAAAAGGATAGATAAATAGATAGATATGAACATATGGAAAGTAGATAGATAGATAGAGAGAGAGAGAGAGATAAATAGATGTGGAAAGAGAAATAGGTAGATATGAAGAGAGAAAACGGTATATAGATAGATATGAACTCATGTAAAGTTGATAGATAGATAGATAGATCTGAAAAGAGAAACAGGTCGATAGGTATGAAAAGAAAAAGAGAAATTGTTATAGATAGATATGAACATATGGAAAGTAGAAAATAGATAGATAGATAGATAGATAGATAGATAGATAGATAGATAGATAGATAGAAAGAAAATCATGAACAGGCTGAGGTAGAAATTGCTTTTTTAGAGAAGAAAGAAAGAAAGAGAAATCTGATAAAGAAGACATTTGCCTGTACAGTTAACTATGTTCCTAATCAAGTCAGGGCAGGTACCAATGTTTTCCAAACTAGCTTCCAATCAAATGAAATTCATTCTGAAAGCAGGAAACCATCCATCAAGTGCCAAAAACTTAAGAATACATTCTATTATTGTTTAAGTGATTATGTCTTTCAAGGAGGATAACGCTTCATTCAATCCCATTCCCCAACCCTCAAATAATTATACACCATATATTTAGATGGAAGTGTATATCAGTGCTTTACTACATATCAATATCATCATCATGCACATAGTGATACATCCACACGCATATCATCATCATCATCATTCTCATCATTACATACATCCTCATGAAGAGAAACGAAGATAGAAATATATTTTAATAGAAAAAATATCTCTAATATCTTTAAGAAAATAATTTTATTATTAATAATTTTGATAGTCTATTGTAAATAATTAGTTTAGTTGTGCGTATATATATATATATATATATATATATATATATATATATATATATATATATATATATATATATACAATTTGTGTATTTAGGCAGCAATCCTTCTTTCATGCACATTTCATTGAATACATCAGATAAGGTACTTTGATTTAGTTGTTTATACAATTTCTCATGCGATCTGATATTTTTTTTCTTTTCAGATGATAAATTATATAAAAACTGTCCAAATGTTATTTTTTCCGAGCGCTTTCGGCTATACATTTAGACATTTTCAAGGATTAAATATTTTAACTGTTAAATAAGAAATAGTTTATTGCATGTATATATACAGTAGCGTCCAAAACTAAGGGACAAAATTTTAAAACCTAATATTTTGTTAGAAATAACAACTGTGAAAAGCTGAAAATTTGACAACTGGTAGTCGTTATCATCCATAATAACATACTAAAATTTGAATCATTTGCAAAGGATAGAAAAAGAATTATAACAATTATTTATTTATTTTTCAAAATAGTCTGGCGCATATAAAAACTGCCGTAACATTTGTTTTTAGACGACTTCATAAAGGGTTATCTTTTTTTGTAGGGTATTTAAACTATATATTTGGGCTATGGATAATAAAAGTTATTATATTGTATGCTTGTATTTAGCTAATTATTCTGTGCATAAACCAGACCTCCCTATCAAAATATTTTTAGCATCTGAAGGAAATAAACAGGACACCTAAAGTAAAATGGAAAATTATAAATAGGACTAGAACTTGTAAAGCTTGGGATGACCCATGACCTTTGTGCCTCCATGAGAAACTGCACATTATTAAGTTTCTAAATAATAAAAATCTATTAAACAATAGACATGAGTTAACGGTTTTTTGCCGACATCATCAAATTTATGCACTAAATAATTAGCTGAAAACAAGCATACAGTATAACTTTTATAGTCCATAGCCCAAATATATAGTTGTCTAAAAACAAATGTTACGGCAGTTTTTATATGTGCAAATCCCTTTCATAAAGAAATAAAATAAAAAAATAAATAAATCTCCAGAGACACGTAAACCAGACTAGGCGTAAACATCTTCCGTTTCAATTTTAGACACCCCCACCTTACCCTGACTTGACATCTATGAAAGTAACTTTATACTGATACGTATTATTAACACCCAACACACCCCTACCTATTTTAAACAATCCGCCCTGGCTGTTACCATGGAAATTTTGATTTCAATTATAAATATACTATTAAAACACGTAAATTTCAGAAATAAGTTATTCAAAAAAAAATTTCGCTTGAAGATGGAACAGAGCTTAGTACTTTAATTCAATTTAATTCAAATAATTATATTGAAGTTTTCGGCTCTTGTTTTGAAACATGAGACCTCTTATGTCGCGAGTCGGAATCATATTTTTAAATAAATAATTATATTTATGCTCTACTTTTGTATCGAGCACTATTTTTTAAAAATAATAACAAAAATACTAAGGAACTTTGGATTATTTACCTAACCAGTTCTTTCCTATTTTCTATATACTTTCACACACACACACACACACACACACACACACATCAAAGGAAAAACAGGAATTAAATGTCACTTGCCCACATTACTAAAGAATATATATATATATATATATATATATATATATATATATATATATATATATATAGAAATTTTGAAAAAAAACAAACAAAAATTCATAAATATTAAAATGAAAGAATTGTCGAAACGTTTCGGTTTTAATAAACCATTTTCAAGACAAAATTCATTAAAAAAATTCAGTTCAATATTAAAGTCTTATCAAGAGTAAAACAGATAATGAAAATTTTTAAAAAGATCAGCTTTCCGTTTAACGTGGTCACGACGTATTCCTAAAAAATTATTTTAAAATTCCTGTTTTCCGGATGCAATCTTCTATGTTGTAAAAATTCTTTCATTTTTACATTTTGGATTTTTGTTTTCAAAATTTCTACATTCTGTCGGATTTATATCCAACACTTGCTTATATATATATATATATATATATATATATATATATATATATATATATAGTGCTAATACACTTGGAGGGTCGTTTGAGGACCTTGTGGCACATAGTGCACTAGGTCTCTGTATTCGGCTCTTCAAAAAGTCTGGTTTATTCTGCACAAAACCTTCACCACTATATCAAATCATATGTGCAGGTTTGTTCCTTGGTACTGGGGTGCCTGATCGTCATACATCATAAAAAAAGGACGACGGGTGAGGCCACGATATCTATCTATCTATCTATCTATCTATCTATCTATATATATATATATATATATATATATATATATATACTTTTTTTTACAATTGGAATTAAGCTACCTTTATTAAATGATCATTTTCATCTACGAATTTTAATTTTAAAATTTCCCAGGACTTTTCAAACAGTTTATGTTATCAGTTTCTAGTATACTGTTTATTTCGAGAAAGAAAGAAAGAAAGAAAGAGAGAGAGTATGTATTATTGGGAGGAATGGGGAGAGGAAGAAGGCACTGTTACCAGAATCATATTAGGAAGGTAGGAGAGCCCCTTCGTGACCGATGAGCTGACCTATATTCTAATGGCTAATTCCAATTGTAAAGGAAATTTACTCTGTTTAATGAGAATAAACAATGAGCGCTCTTTTGTGAGTCTGTTTTAACATATTTCAAATTCTATATTGTTTTAATAGGACTCGCTCGGATTACACCAACTGATTACTACATATATATATATATATATATATATATATATATATATATATATATATATATATATATATATATTAAATAAAAACAGACCACTTTAAGGTTCCATGTAATAAATTATTTCACCACAGCCCTTTAAAGGACTGCGGATCATCAGACTTTACTTCCAAAGGTTGAAAAGAAAAAAAAATTATTACATGGAACCTTAAAGTGGTCTGTTTTTATTTAATTTATTTGCTCTGGATTTACATTGAGCTCTCTGGATTTTATCCTCCTTGGGTATACCCATACCGATTACCTAGTTTTCCATAAACTAACTATATATATAAATATAACTAATATATATATATATATATATATATATATATACCCAAGTTTATGATTGGTGTATACAGAATACATTCCAATAACCAACAATTACTATTCTTAAAAGAGTGCTCAATACAGAATAGAGCAGATATAATTATTTTTAAAAAATTATAACATAAATATGTTATAAAATCACTACAAAAATAGCCATTTTGTTTCAATACCTCCGGTGTCTTACCAAGTCTTTATAAGACACCGGAGGTGTTGAAACAAATGGCTATTTTTGTAGTGATTTTATAACATATATATGTTATAATTTTTAAAATTTTAATATATATATATATATATATATATATATATATATATATATATATATATATATATATATATATATATAATTTTAATACTAATTAAATACAATTAATTAATTTTTAATTAATTGTTTAGAGGTGCAATCGTCTACAGGTGGCCGATACACATCGAAATAATATTTTTGATGTGTCATTATGCAATTTTTTTTGTTACGCCATAGTGTTTATTTGGGGTTGATTTTTTTACGCTCTGTGAGTCGGATGCGAACCGGGGGTCATAGTTTTTCTTACTGCTATTCTATCCGCACAGATTCCGTATTTACCATTTTTATGTGACTTGCCTCATTTGGCCTTTATATAACTGATTCGTTGAATGGTTTTTTGACCGCACGCTTATGAATTCAGTTACTTTTGTTCAGGGCTTCTCTTTGTAACCATGCCCATGTGCTTTTTATCTGTTATTCATTTTATTTCGCTCTTGAAATACCTGTACATTTGTTTTCTTTCTCACTTTTGATTCTTGTTTCTGAGATTTCTGTTCCTCCTATTCTATTGCAGAATTTGGAACGGTCTTGTAGGGGATAATTTACTTTCCACACTACAGACTTTCGCCACAGACCCAACGTTGCAAATCCAGGGCGACTCTATCACTACTTCCATGGCAAATGTTTTATTTAGTTCCAAAAATTCAATATGAAAAATTACCACTAGAACTCACCATGTCACGCCCATCGAATTACCCACATTTCCTCTGTATTCTAATTGTAAGGGGAGAGACAAATGTTTTCAACTGTTAATCTCGATATATATGAGTAGATAGATAGATAGATAGATAGATAGATAGATAGATAGATAGATAGATAGATAGATGTGAAAAGAGAATTATGTAGGTAGATAGATATGAAAAGATAAAACTGGTATATAGATGAACATTTGGAAAGTAGATAGATATGAAAAGAGAAATTTTTATATAGATAGATAGATAGATATGAAAAGTCTTAGATATTTACCAATCGTCAAACAATAAAATGACTTCCGTATAAGTCGCTCATTGAATTTTGATGTGTTTACCATTCCATCGGATTCTCATCCAACTTAACTCACATCTCATATATATATGTATGTTGTGTGTGTGTGTGTGTGTGTGTCTGTGTGTGTGCGTGCGTGTGCGTGCGTGTGTACGTTTAAGGTTGCTGTTAAATTATCTATGAGGTCATTGATTCCCCCAGAGTGAAGCAAAGAAGATCATTTTCTACTTAAGAAAAGCTGTCTGTCTTTTCATAAGTCGTAAATGTTCAATTCGTTGGCTTTACTTGTATGAGTGCATTCTTTAGCAATTTACACGGATTTATGAATATAGTATGTGTGGCTGTCTGCATACGTATTACTGGCAAGGAAGATGTTTTTGGTTTGCCAGAATTAATTATCACCAAACAAGAATATGAATTTGTTTGAAGAAAATGATGAAAATTATACAGAAACATAGCAATTAAAGAAAATTTTACTTTAAATAGGTTTATGCATATATGTATGTGTGTGTGTGTGTATGTGTGTGTGTGTGTGTGTGTATGTGTGTGGAATCCTTCATTTATATGCCATGAAAATTATTAATCATAATTTTGAGATAGAGAAAGAAAAAAAAGGAAGAAAAACGAGGTTGAAAACTACAGAAAGAAAGAAAGAAAGAAAGAAAGAAAGAAAAAGTAAGAAAGAAAGAAAGAAAGAAAGAAAAAGTAAGAATAAAAGAAAGAAAGAAAGAAAGAAAGAAAAAGGAAGAATACGAGAAAGAAAATTACGGAAAGAAAGAAAGAAACTTAATTTTGAGAAAGAAAGAAAGAAAGAAAGAAAGAAAGAAAGAAAGAAAAAGGAAGAATACGATAAAGAAACTTACGGAAAGAAAGAAACTTAATTTTGAGAAAGAAAGAAAGAAAAGAAAGAAAGAAAGAAAGAAAGAAAGAAAAAGGAAGAATACGATAAAGAAACTTACGGAAAGAAAGAAAGAAACTTAATTTTGAGAAAGAAAGAAAGAAAGAAAGAAAGAAAGAAAGAAAGAAAGAAAGAAAAAGGAAGAATACGATAAAGAAACTTACGGAAAGAAAGAAAGAAACTTAATTTTGAGAAAGAAAGAAAGAAAGAAAGAAAGAAAGAAAGAAAGAAAGAAAGAAAGAAAGAAAGAAAAAGGAAGAATACGATAAAGAAACTTACGGAAAGAAAGAAAGAAACTTAATTTTGAGAAAGAAAGAAAGAAAGAAAGAAAGAAAGAAAAAAAGAAAGAAAAAGGAAGAATACGATAAAGAAACTTACGGAAAGAAAGAAAGAAACTTAATTTTGAGAAAGAAAGAAAGAAAGAAAGAAAGAAAGAAAAAAAGAAAGAAAGAAAGAAGGAAAGAAAGAAAGAAAGAAAAAGGAAGAATACGATAAAGAAACTTACGGAAAGAAAGAAAGAAAGAAAGAAACAAACTTAATTTTGAGATACAGAGAAAGTAAGAAAAATGAAGAAAAAATTTAGAAATATACGGAAAGAAAGAAAGAAACTTATTTTGGGATATAAAAAAAGAAAGAAAAATAATGAAAAAGAGGAGAAAACTTACGGAAAGAAAGAAACGGAAAGAAAGGAACTTAAAGTTGGGATATAAAGGAAGAAAGAAAAGTAAAGAAAATAAGGAAAATTATGGAAATTAATTTAAGTTGAAAGAAATAAAGAATAAAAAGGAAGAAGAAATAAGAACAGAACAATAAAAGAAATGAGTATACAAGAAAGAAAGAAAGACAGAATGAAAGAAAGAAAGAATGAAAGATAGAAAGAAAGAAAGAATGAAAGATAGAAAGAAAGAAAGAATGAAAGATAGAAAGAAAGAAAAAGGTAAAAATAAATAAGAATAGAAATAATCCAGTAAATAACGAAGAAAGAAAGAAAAAAGTGAAAGCCCAAAATAAGAAAGAAAAGCAAAAGTCAAATTCATGTCTATGACAATTGTCTTCTTCTAACAATGAAACTTTTTGGATCAAATTGAATCGAACGAGTCGCAAAAGAAAACGCGACCTTCTAATATATAACAAATCTTCTTTCGATTCGGATTCTTCGTCGTACTTAGGCTATGATTAATTCATATATTGTCATCAAAGAAGATTATAGTAAGTTCCTCGATCTGTGTTTATGGACAAGTCACGTTGAAAACACGATTTCTTATAATGTGTGCATGCAATGTGCAGTCCGTTCACGGCTTAGATAGACAGTAATCAGTATTCATTGTACGACCAAGCGCAGGCCTACTAACCTGCACACAACGAAAATAAGTGTCGAATTTTTTTAACCTCAACTTTGTTCTTTCTATCATAACGTTTCGGTGGATGTGTTCTTCGGATTTTTTTTTTTTTTTTTTACTGTTAGTTTGCCCGATACAAGCCCCAAGGGCCACTCAAAGTAGAAGGTTAAAAAGTGGAGTTGTAAGCGAGTGGAAAGTAAGAGAATATTATGAGGACCTGTAGAAAAGGTATCGATTGACTATGGACTTAAAGAGACCAAGATTGTAGCTGTCAGGGAAGGGGAGTCAGTTCCACAACGTAACAGTTCTGGAGAAAAGGCTGTCCAAGTGGAACTTGCTTTTTTCTCAAAGAAACACAAAGGGAATGGGAAGGGTCTGCCACCGAAAACATGTCATGGCAGGTTCTGTGAATGTCTGAGCTGGTGGAACTAAAGAATGTAACTCGTCCAAACATCCGCCATAGTAAAAGGGTTAAGAGCTTCGCCAGTGGGATAAGGGTTGCAAGGGGGTGGAATAATTCATCACCCAAAAGGCCGCGTAGATGCCTTTGAATTCTGTCGATTCTGGACAGTTAGTATTGGGCATCACCAGCCCAAATATGGCAGCAATACTCTGGTCTGATCTGACTCTTGTAAAGATAGGACATAGCAGCATGAGTTAGGTATTTTCTGGGTTGATACAATGAACCGACCATTCTTCCAGAATCTTTTCCGATAACACGAATATTGGTGTTTCATTTGCAATCGGGAGTGAGCATTAGATCCAGTAGGCATCCGGAGCAAGGAATTTCTTTGAGGATATGGCGACATATCAGGATTGGTGCAGGTTCATAGAGCGGTACAATGAACTAACCGTTTTCCTGAGATCTTTAGCAATAGATCATATACGTGATTTCCATCTGGGGAAAGCTTGAATACCAATGGATGTTCAAAACAAGTATCTCCCTTGAGAGTCTGTCCGCTCATCAGGACTGGAACACATTTAGGGTCTGCTCTGTGGTGATTAAACGTCGATAGCTTTGTTTTGGATGTACTGAATGATACAAGTCAGTCTTTCTCCTATTGAGTTGTGATAGTTAAGTCAGAGGAGAGATCAGCTGCCAGGCACTGGTCATCAATATATCTGGAGGTGCACCCATACACCGTAGTATCCTCCGCATATATGTTTGCTAAGGATCTGCGAGTATTCTTAAGGAGATCGTTGCTATAAAGCAGAAAGTCTTCCTCAGTATGAGTAGTGTTCGGCAATCGTTATTTGTCCTGAAACAATGCTTAATCAGTTTTACATTATAAAGATTTTTTTTCAAAATAATTTACAATAATTACAGCTTATTTTATTATTAGTTTGTGTCGTTTAGATTTAGTTTTTTTATAGTCACAATGTAGTTGTAGGCAGCACAGGTGTAATTTGTTTCATGTATTTGAAAATAAGTTCTGGTCTTTTGTTTAGAAGCTTATCTTGTCCAGGAAACGTAAGTGTCGCTATTTCTCTTCTAAGAAAAATTTGCACTGTTTTGTGTTGTTGCTGTTAACTGCGGCTCGTTTCCTAATTTTATTGACGAATTTTTTAAACTGCTTTTGAAGATTGTATAATCATTTTTATATTGAGATTAGTCAAATTTTTCAAGTTCGTTAATTATGGAATCTTCAGGTAATATAAGAATTTACTCAAACGGATATGAATTCAAACTGATCAATGAATCCCCAATGACTTGCAGTTCAGATTGTGGTACTTCGAAAGGTTAGATGGCCATTTCGCATAACTGCTATGTAAGACCTGATGCGTCGGTAGTGTTTCGATGTCTTCCTCAGAAGGCCAAACGAACATTCCTACACAGATCGATTAGGTTCTGGGCCGCTATGAAGAAGAGAAACTCACCAAGATCAGCATATTGCAGTAGCAGCAATGGTGGACCAAAGATTTTTTTTTCCTTCACAAAAATCACTTTCAAAAATCACCTTGCGTCTTGTACTATAATCGGTATTAGACTAAAAGTCTAATCCCGTTACAGTCTAATCCCGTAGAGTCTAATCTTTTACAGTCTAATCTGTTACAGTTAAATCCCTCGATGGTTCCAGAATTAAATATAAATTATTACAAATGTTTAAATCATGATGGGAAGTCAAAATAACGTTCGTTCTGGGTAAGACGATAAACTACGTCCAACAGCGAAGCCTCTGATTAGGAGGCTTTAAGGAGCATGGAACCATCTCTAAATTGCCGATGTCCCCAGCATCCCTTGACCCGGGGTAGTAGCACCTGTCAGGGTCCCAAATATGGGCAAATAGTTAACCCCCAAACTGGGGTTAAAACATTATGAAAGTGTAAAAATAGGCTTTAATACCAGTAATAAATTTTTGAAGAAAAAATTATTATCGCTAATACATTTTTGAAAAAAAAATATTACCAGCAATACATTTTTGGAAAAAAATATATGACTAGCAATAAAAATTCTGTCGGCATTATATAACCCATTGTGGTTGATATGCCGTAAAACAAAACAAACCAAACTAAAATAATTTTAAAAATTAAAAAAAAAAAATCTTATAAATAACTATGGATTTATTTTTGTATTAAATATTTTTTGACAAACTATAAATTGTCATATACTCCAGTGCATATTATATGATGGCAAATATGGTACACATTTATTCCTTTAAGTTTGTGGAATAATTTACAGTAATTTACAAGAAGGTGTCATGTTCAACCATTTTGAAAATTATTGTTATTACTAATTTATATATGAAATATGCAATTTATATAGAGATAGATAGATAGTAAAATTGGGCATTTAGAAATCAATACAGGCATGATGTTGAGTCCAATGTCTACATTGTTTAATCTACATAGGCTAAGATTTTTAAGCAATAATCTCTTATATATATATATATATATATATATACCGCATTTTAAATAAGACATACACACAAACACACACACGTATATATATATATATATATATATATATACATACACACACAGTGTCCTCATAATATGTACCCAGTTTTTGAATTCATATAACTTTTGAATTTTTTTCATATCCAGTGTAATCAATTTCATTTAATATTTAATTTAAATCATTAATCTTCTTGTAAATCAATAAACATTGCATTTTCTTACCTATACATATATATATATATATATATATATATATATATATATATATATATATATATATATATATATAAATTTTTCTCTCGTTGGGACAACTGTAAACTTTTCCTATATATATATATATATATATATATATATATATCCTTTCTGAAAGAGAGGTTGGAGGTGGAAAATAATTTGTCACACACAAGGACTCAGAGACGCTTTTGAAGGATATCAAAACAAGAAAGTGAAGCTTGGGTAGATTCATCCCAAATATGACAACAGTATATATATATATATATATATATATATATATATATATATATATATATGTTGTCATATTTATATATATATATATATATATATATATATATATATATATATATACTGTTCACTTTCTAGTTTTGATATCCTTCAAAAAGCGTCTCTGAGTCCTTGTGTGTGACAAATTATTTTCCACCCTCCAACCTCTCCCTCACAGGAAAGGGTGTGATGACCCTCTCACTGCTCCATCGCTACTTCTATGGGAAGTACTCGTACGAACTGCATTTCTTGGATCCACCACTCCTAACCATCACCACTATACCACTTATATTGTAACAAACCACCCACATTCCCTTCGTATTCCATCGCTGAGAGTAATTTCCACTTGAACAGCTTCTTCCTGCGAATCACTGCTCTGTAGATGTTTATCCGATCTTAAACTGTTCAAATCTAGGGTTAATACCTTATCTACCACTCCTAACTATATATAATTGTCTCTTAATATAATCCTCTATCTCGAGTGGACCCTGGGCCTTTTACAGGGTGAACCTCACTGTAAAATAGAACGCTCGCTAATTAATAAAGACACTATATTTCTGGAAAACCGGAAGACAAAATGGCTACAGTTGAAAGAAAAGAGGAAAAAGGGGGAAAAGGCAAAAAAAAAAAAAAAAAAAAAACAATAATGAGTGAGTGTAAAGTAAAAAAAAAAAACGACGTAAAGGACAAATAACAGTGTGATACGCTTAGACGCACGCGCACAAAGACTACGAAAAAAATGCTCCAAAGAAAAAGGTATATAAAAAAGAAAAATTAAGAAGTATAAAGTGTCAATTGCTAATATTCGCTGACGAGTGGATGGAGTGATTTGCGGAGGGTCCGTCTACGAAACTCTGGAGTCGGGATGCTGAAGGTAACATCAATCAGCTAAGTAACAAACCTTTTACTTGTATTGTGTGTGCGCGTGTAAAAGTTTTCACATAGCGTACAGATACTACACTGATTTTTGACAGTGTCGAATGGTAACATTCTGATCATAGGCAGAACGCACAGATACTACACTGATTCTAAACAAACCCAGTGGCGGACGATGCTTTGATCCCAGGCTGAGTGTGCAGATTAACATTGATCATAGGTAGAAGGCTCTGTAGTGCATAGATAGTTTATCCAAGATAGATCTGCTAATTGATACTTAAATAATTCTGTCGCAATCACACTTAGATCTTGGACACTTTAGAAATAATGCTGAAAAAAAGTTTCTTAATTCTTTCATTCCTAATGGGAAATATACGTCCAAAATGATCACTCATTTTGTAAAGATTCCCATCCGTTTATTA